GGGGGGGGGCATGCGAGGGAAACATTGTGCCGGATGGCGTGGGAGAGGCCAAGGACAAAAGAGAGGCGAGGAAGAGGGAGAGAGCGAGAGAGGAACAGGGGCAAGGGTGCGAATAACATAAAGGCACATACCTTGATGCACTTTCCCTTGGACACGTCCCAAAGAGAGACAATGCCCCCATCGTGCCCAGTGGCGAGGATGCTGCCCGATCGCCGGCCAAAACGCGCGGCGAAGACATCAGCGCAGGGGATGGCATCTATCCATGAGTGCAAGTGGGCGTCAGCAGGGGCAGAGTATGTGGCAGGTGGAGGAGAGACAGGGGAGGCAAAAAACAAGGAAGGCAAAAGGGCGTAACGAATCATGAGCGAGCAAGAGAGAGAGAGAGCGGGAGAGAGAGAGTCACGAACGGAGTTGTTGAATTCGGTCACCCCGGGCGGTGGGAGGTAGAGAGCCAGACAGCGAGCCGTTCATGGAGGGATCCCAATCAATGGCATGCCTCGTGCGACTGGCCAGGGCGAGGGACGGGAAACGAGTGGGCGAGAGGGTGCAGAGCAGGTCTCGGCAATGGCCTGGGGGGAGGGGGCGAGAACCACAAAAGGATGGTGAGGGAGAGGGGGAAGGTCAAAAGGGAAGAGCGGGGGTGGGGGAGGGATATGCGGGGCAACTGCGCTATGCCGGCACCCTGGTACCTCTCCTGCCCGTAGATGGGACGAGGAAAGAGATGAGGGGGGGGACGGGCGGGCGGGCGGGCGGGCGGGCTGACGGGGAAAGACACTGGGCCGCCGGCCCCCGCCGGGGCCCCACCCAGGATGCCAGGGAAGATCGATCGGCGCCAATTTTGAAAAAAATACCGCCATCCCCAGTGGTCGACGCGGAGACGTAACGGCATCCCCTGGGGGCCACTCCGGGTACCGCCGGATGGGCTGCTGTGGGGCCCTGCAGGGCGCACCATGCATATCTCGCGTGCCCCGGGCACGCCGCCCGTCGGCAGCCCATCCCGCCAGCTAGTCCCACGCAGGCTTTCTGCCGGCTGCCCACCCCCCCCCCCCCCCCCCCGGTCGAGGGGGCTTTTTATTTCCTAGGACATCAGACACCTGGCGGGCCTGCGATGGTGGGGAGGGCAGGCAACCCGATCAAAAACAAAAGGCCCGCCTCCGCGCCCTGCCGACGGGTTGCGGATCACCTTCCACACTTCATCCCCGTACACTCGCCCCTTTGTGATTGACTTGGCGATCGCGTGCAATGGCATCGCCTCCATCATCCCCCCCGCAGGTGGCCCAGGGCTCGGCCTCCTCGGCGACAACCCCCTCCAATCGGAACCTCCTGTCCAACTTCGAGCTGCCGACCATCATCTGCAATGGCGCGGTCATCCTCGGCAACGTCACCTACGGTGCGTCTCGACGGCAGCCAAAAGCCAGTCCTCCCTTCCGCGCGCCTCCCCCCCCCCCCCGTGCCTATGGGCGTCAATCATCTCACCTTGTCCTTGTGCCACCCTGTCTCCCCAGGCCCGGGGAATGTCTTCCACCCGCAGTGCGTGATCGATGGCCGCCTGGCGCCGATTACCATTGGCAAGGGGAATGTATTCGAGGAGATGTGCCACATTGTCAGCCGGTACGCACGGCCCACAGGCCGGGATGTTCCTTCCGCCTTCTGGACATCTCATCTGTCAGCCCTGACACACACACACACACACACACACATGCATGCACATGCATGCACGCATGCATGCACACATCGATTGCCGATAGAGAGGCCACACCCTTGGCTATCGGGTCCGGGAACTACTTCTCCGTCCACTCCAGTGCGCATGCTCCTGCCCCTTCGGTTTCCCTTTTCACGCTTTCGCCAGCGGGGTGGAGCGACACAATGAGAAGGGCCTTCCAGCGCTCGCATTGAGGTCCGGTACTGACAGCCGCCCTCGCCCCCGGCAGAGGTCGATGGTGTGAAGTCCATCGGCAACTGGAACATCGTGTCGATCAAGGGTATGCTTCGCCGGCTCTTGCGGACTGGCTTGCCTTCCCTCCCCCCCCCCCTCTTCGCCGCCCGGCTTACTGACTCGCCGATCTCCCTGGTGCAACACAGGCCGTTTGGTGAATGTCGAGCGCCTGCCGAGCGACTGCTTTGTCGGCATCGATGTCGATCTTGCTCGGCTTCCTCCCTGCCAGGTCGCCCCATCAACCAGCTTCTTTTCTATCTCCCCGCCGGACTCCGGAACAAGCGACACGGATGACCGGACGCAGGTCCGCACCGTCAAGCTTCACCCTGACATCACCACGGTGCGCTCAGAGAAGTGGAAAATGGCGCCCCTCGCATGCCTCTCCCGCCCGGGCCGGGGACGGGCGAGGCCCTTGCCACCGTGACTAACCCCCCCATCTCGCCCCTCCTTTGCCATCCCGAGGAACAGGTGAACCGTCGGGAAAATGCCGCCCGTGTGACTTACCTCCAGACGGTTCTTCCACGGAGCCACCGGCTGAATCACCCGGTGGCACAGAGCCCGCCCGTAAAGGCGCCAGAGCCGGCTGCCGGGGGACCGCCTGGATCCTCGTCTCCGCGGTCGCCCCCGGCGCAACAGTGAAACCAGGGCCAGGAGGATGACAATATGTGTCGGGACTTTTGCGAGTCCTGCAACGGGGAGAGGCGGTGTCCGCATCTCCTCCCCTGCTGTCCCTCGCTGTGATCAAGGAATATACACACATTTTCACAAATATGCAGACTTACACACACAGGCGCAAAGACTTGCATCACGCCGGGGGGGGGGATACCCCCGTCATGGAGTCGGCCATGTCTCAGGGAAACAGGAAGACGGGGAAAAAGGGGGCACATGAGCCACCCGCACCAGGCTCTGGGTCTGTAGTGCGGAGAGAGAGAGAGAGAGAGAAGAATGATATGCAAGACACAACCAGACAACCGTCCTTCTTTTGGAGAACAAGTTCAATTTGGTACAGGGGGGAGAAAGCGGACAGCCAAAACTGGGTTGCCGAGACTATAGGGAGGGAGAGAGGGGGGGAGGGGGGAGGGGGGGAAGCGAATCCCTTCTATCGCGAGGCGCAGCGCGCGGCGCGCGACTCGCACATAACGATGAGAGAGGGCGGAGGGAGGGCGGGAGGAGAAGGGGGGGTGCTGACACGCCCCCGGCACACCCACAAGAGAGGGCGCCGAGAGAGCGAGGCAACAGCCAAACTCCATGGACAGCAGAGAGACCTCCAGGCCGGGGGAGAGGAGGGGAGGGGGGAGAGGGGGCGCGCGGGCCGGAGGAGTGGGCCGCGTGTGTGCTTCAAAACAACAGCCACACGCGCGCCGCGTCACTCACCTCCACGGTCACCACCAAGCCGATGTGTAGACCCACATTCGCTTAGTTGGTCTTGGTCGCGGCGGCGACGGGCTTCTTCTTGTAGGAGCGGCGGTAGAACTGGATGAAGAGGACCAGGAAGGACACCAGGACGAACTTGCCGAACCAGAAGGAGAACCAGTTACCGGAGCAGGTGATGCCCTTGATGATGGTGAAGTAGGCCCAAGAGAGGTTGCTGGAGATGCCGAGGACGAACTGCACGATCTGCAGGGTGGTGAGGTGCTTCTTCCAGGAGACCTGAATGTTCAGAGTCTGAGAGGCATAGAAGTAGTACATGAAGACATGGACCAGGGTGTTGGAGGCGGAGGAGAACCTGCGAGCGCGCGCGATTGTGGGGGGAGGGGGAGAGAGAAGGGAGAAGGAGGAAGGATGAGTCAGAGGGGGCAAGATCGACGAGGGGAAGGGGGGGGGGGACGACGGCGGCGAATGAGGGAAATCAAGGGGCCGAAAAGGCGGCTGGCCGACATACCACTGGATACCAAGGTCGACGTCGAGGCAAACCCAGCACAGCCACAGGGTGATGATGTGGTGGTACCAGTGGAGGAAGATGACGTTCTTCTACGGGTGGTCGCATCAGGAGCGCGGGCGCAAATGCGCGTGAGGGGGCGTCAGCAACAAGGCAAGGGACTGCGCATAGGCATAGAGAGAGAGAGGGAGAGGCGAGGAGGGGGGAAAGAGGCATGGAGCGGATGGGCAACAAAGGAGGCGGGTCTCCGCGGCACGCACCTTGCGCAGGATCAGGATGGCAGTGTCGATGAACTCATACATCTTGGACAGGTAGAAGATGTAGTACCAGAAGAAGAGGTTGGTCGAGGCACGGTGGGTGTAGTTCGGGTCGCAGGTGAGGTGGACCCACTGGGGGTTCTTGAGAGCGTAGAGGGCGACCTGGGGGCAGGGCACGGGGGGGGGGAACACCAAGCGGGAGGGGGGCGCGCGCAGGAGGAGGGAGGTCAGCACATGGGGAGGCGGATTGCGTGGAGGAGAGAGAAAGAGAGAGAAAGAGAGGGAAGCTGCCCGAAGGCGAGGGAATCGACACACCTCCTTGAGCATGCCGATGGTCATGACCAGGGAGCCGGTGGAGAGAATCCAGTTGTGGATGACCATGACCCACTTGAGGTTGAGGGGCTGGCGGTTCTTCATGACCATCGGCAGGAAGATGAGCATGAGGACGTAGCCGAGAGTGGCGATGATCGGGTACTTGGGCTCGTGCAGGAGGGTCAGGCGCTCGAACTTGAAGTTCTCAACAACCGGCTTCCAGACGGTCTCGAGCAGGCCGAGGGTGACGGCGGCCGAGATGATGATGGAAGGGGAGAGGATGCTGGATGACGGGGGGGGGTGGCGGCGGGATGAGGAAAGGGGGATGCGACGGGGGAGAGGGGAAGACGCGGGAGTCAGCAAGGGAGCCGGGAGGGGGGGGGGGGCGAGGCCACCGACACCACATTGCGAAAGTATGCCCCCGATGCACCGAGAGAGCGAGGGTGGTGCGCGGGAGAGGAGGGGACGCCGCCCCGCGGGCAGAGACGGGCTAAGGCAAAGGAAGGGCCGGGACTCGGG